GCAAGAGGCAGGCGGCCTGCCGCAGGAGGACAAGAAGGAGGAGATGGAGCCGGGCCAGCGAGGGCGCCCGGAGTCTCTTCTAGGCCACGGGGAGCAGCCTCCGGGTTAAGACACAGCCTAACCCGGCGCTCTCTGGCGCTCTCTGGCCCTCCTGCGAGTACAAGTACAGCAGGACTAGCACATTCTGGGCAGCTGGCCCCACCCTAACCCCAAGCCCCAGGGGCGGTCAGCCCCCCCGCCCCTGCTGGAACGCAGCTCCCGAGGGCAGGGCTGCGGCTGTCTGTCCAGAGCAGTATCCCCCTGCGTGCTGAACGGCGCCTGGCGCGCAGATGCTCAATAGACACCAGGTGAAGACCCGAGCGGATGCGTGACTGGGAGTGGGCGATGGGCCCAGTGCACCCTTCCCGAGAATGCTGGCCCGTCCACGGAGCATTCTGGAAAGACGGAAAGCCTCCAACATTCCTAAGAGATGGAACCTCAGGGCGGACAGGCAGCAGGCTGGGGATTCCTAGGGGCTGGGGGCAGGGGCTCTACCCGCCCTGGCTTCCTGGGGGGCACCCTGGAGCTGGAGGCAGTAGGATTGGGGGCCTCTAGGCGGATTCGGCAGAGCCAGGAGCTTCTGCCAGGATCCTGAAGGGCCTCCTTGGAGCGGGTGGGTGGACGCAGCAGGACCCCAAACCAGCACCAACCAGGCCAGGTCCCAGTTTTACATGATCAGGTGCCAGGAAGTTCCCAGGGAAAGAAAGGACTTTGTTTTAAAAAAACAGCCCTAGGTCAATTGCTTTACCTCCTTCGCTGAGGTGAGGGCTCGTCTTCCAGCGGGAAGGGAGAAGTGGAGGCCCCGGCCCCCCCAGAGGAGGCCGATGCATGACGGGACCTGCCCTGGGTCTCAGGGGGGCCTGGACGCCCAGCTCCTGGCGACCGACCAGGCTCCGGGTGGGGGGCGGGGGGGCAGCCCTCACACTCCACTCCAGCTGCCCAAGCAGGCCGCGAGCAATGTGGTGGAGACACGCCGCAGAGAGGGCCGCAGAGGTCGTCTAAGAGAAGTCACAGAGGTCACAGAGAAGGTCGCAGAAGGCAGCTCCCAGGCCGGCACGCAGGGACCCCCAGCCGCCAGGTCCCAGCCCAGCGAGCAGGATGCGTCTCCAGCACCAAGCTCTGGGGACACCTTCTCCAGGAGAGAACAAGCTTGTGAACTACATGGAAAAAATCCTTTTTACCTTTTATATTCACAGCCTAACACAGGGCACTGCTGCTGTTCCCCTCACTTCGTGTGTGTGTGTGTGTGTGTGTGTGTGTGTTTGTGTGTGTGTGTGAGGCTCAACATGCCAACAGCTCCACGCTACAGCAAATGCCCACGACCTCACGGTGCAGTTGTGGAAACTGAGGCTCCAGAAGAGCAGAGGACACCTGAACCCCATTCTCCTGAGCCAGGCGCAGAGGTCGCCCAGCCCAGTCTTTTAGGCTGAGTCGACAGAGCACCAGGCAATGGCTCACCCCATGGGCAACACCCCCAGGTCCGCCGCCCCCGGGGCCCACTGAGCGGGCGAGAATTCTGGGGTGTCTCTACAGGCTCTCCCCAGCCGCCTCCTGCGGTCCCAGCGGCCAGCCTGCGGCCGCTCACGCCCTGATGCACTGCAGACAACAGGGAGAGAACCCGGCTGACCCGGCTCCGTCCAGCCTTCCCTGGTGGCGACCCGCAGGCGCTGCTCCCTGAGGCTCCCGGGGGGCCCGTAGCAGTGTGGGGAGAAGATCTGCTGAAGTGAGAAACCCGAGTGTCCGGGAGACAGACCTAGGCCTGAGCACCCCAAACGCCTAGCAACAGGCCACTGCAGACTTAAAAATGGAGCATATCCCCGAGTAAGAGGCTTCAGGCTGGCACCCTAAAACCAGCTTCATGTTTGTGAGCAGGAGACCAGGGCTGGCTCAGCCGGGATGCGCCCATTACCTGGAAGCTTCTCTTCACAGCAGGAAAGCTGCCCCAGAAGCCCCAGCCCCTGCCCCGCAGGGCCCCCTCCCAGAACAGCAGGAGCTGGCGCTGTGGGAGGGGCTCCTTCCCTCCTGGGTCCGGGGAGACCCACAACCTTGCAGAGGAGGCGGCTCCCCAGCTCCATCCCGTTTCCAACAAGATCAAATGATCCCGACCACTCGCTGATCCTCGCACAATCCTCTAAGTGACTGCAAACACTACGGCAAACACGACACAGCAGCCCAGGCGGATCTGGTCATTTAACAAGATTTTTTAAAACTCGGAAACTCAGCGCAGAGCGCGGGGCCGGGGCTCAGGGGCCTGCCCGTCCAGACAGGCTGCGCGGTGCCATCAGGGAATGAGCTCACAGGGACCTCCGCGGAGTCCGGGGTGAGGACTGACCTCACCTTTCAATTTCCCAAACATCCTGTCATCTTTAAAAAACGTTCATCGCTTGAAAAATTTGAAAAAACAAAGAAACGGTCCGCAGCAGCTGCCCCCAGGGCTCGGCCTGGGCTGAGCTGGGGTGCGGGCGGGGCTGGAGGCCAGGGCGTAGGTGGCCTCGGAGCCTTCCAGAGCCCACAGCGGGGAGGTCTCCAGGGGAGGCTGGCAGCACCCGGGCATCTCTCTAAGTAAAAATGAAGCTCATGGTAAAGGCGTTTTTGAAAAGCTTGCCGAATCTAAACTGAATATGAGGGTAATGTGAGGCCAAGGGCTTGGCATCAAACAGAGGCTGAGTGAGTCCACCTGGAGCTCACCCCTGGAGGCCCCTGACAGAAACAGCAGGTGGTTTTCTTCCAGAGCAACTAAAGCGGAGGCCGGAGGCCGCCACCTGGAAAGGCAGCAGCTTCCATAATGCTCCTCCGCCCAAAGGGCCGACACCCGGCTGCTGGAGTGGTCTGTTCTCCGGGATCGGAAGCTCTGCTGGCCGGAACTCCCCCTCCGGGACTCTGGCCTGTACGGGACCATCAGCAGCCAATTCACAGTGTGTGCCCCACCCTGCCCTCTGCGCCCCCAGACCAGACTGTATGCTCCCAGGGGACAGAGCAGGCCCAGTTCGGCTTCTGTCTCCCCTGTGTCCAGCTCACTCTGGCACATCTCGGGGGCTCTGCGTCTGTCTGGGGAGACACCCCGCACCCAGCATCCGGAAGCTGAGCGCCAAGCAGCACCCAGCACCTCTCAGTTCCAACCAAAGGGGGTGGGGGCCATGCCCCCCACTTGCCTGCCGGTGGCCAGCACCCCACGCACAGAGCCGTGTCCTTGATGTACGAAACAGAAAACCTAAAGGAGACGTCACAAGACTAAACCTGACTCACACAAGGAGGTGGGGTCGAGGGGAGTAACAGGACTGTTAGCCCAGCTGGAGAAATCAAGACCCTCAGGCGCCAGCGCCGGATCCCAAGGCACAAGACCAGGCAGGTAACAGACGCCGTAGCGAGTTTCTGCAGCACAGACACTGACCTGAGGGTGAAGATGTGGAGTTTGGGCCCATTGTGAGATCTCCAGTCTCTCCCCGTCCTGTTCTGATCCTGCGTCCAAAATCAGCAACAATCTAACCACTCACAGCGGTGGCCCCTCCCTACCTAAAGAAGAGGATAGAGCCTAAGCTCGCCCACAGAGGGGCAGCTCTTCCGCCAGCTTGCGTCGGTGCAAGTGTCCTTGACTTTTCTGTCCCTTTTCTAATAAACCTGCTCTTTATATATAACCAGCGTCTCAGTCTCGTGGAGAAACTCGCCTGGGAAACTCGCCGCGTGCCGCTGAAAGGGGAGCTCTGGGGACACCTTTCCCAGGGCAAACCCAAGGACCCCGCACTCCAGACTCCAAAAACCTCACCATCCTGATGCTACTGAGCAGTAGATGGAATCACAGGGACCACAATGAGCAGCCCTGCAGCTGCTCCCCCAAAACCCCAGGCCACAGGGAGCGCATCACCCCCAGCAAACGTCTCAGACACACGGCACGCGGCAAATGGCCGACTTCCCCATCACCAGGTTCAAACCTGGGACCTGCTGATGTGCTGGGAGTCACTCCGCCCATCCTGGGCAGTGCCAGACAGACCCCTCCCTGGCACGCACCAGCCCCTGAGCCACAGGTCAGTTCTCTTGTCTCCTGCCTCCACCGCTGAGGCTGAGACCTGCGAGTCCTGCCTGGTGCCCAGAGGCTGCGAGACCCTCTCAGTGTCCAGCAAGTGTGAGAGCAGAACCGGACACTCCGGTGACCCCATGGTCGTGTGGGGCCAAAGCAGAAACAAGGGGGCCTTTCCCACGCTTGTTAAAAGCTAATGTACCCCAAGCTGCATTAATTGTCCAGGCCACTTAAGCTGAACTTACAGTTTTAAAAGAACTGGCTTTGAAGTCAGAGAGAGGTGGGTTCAAATCCTGGCTCAGCACCGGCGGGTTTGCTGTGTGACTCTGAGCAGGTGAGCTCACTTTCTGAGGTCAGGGCCCCGCTCTAAAATGGCAGCCATGATTGTGAGCTCATAGGGTGGTCACAACCACTTGCGGCTGGAGGATGCATTCAAAGGGTGGGGCATGTGAGCACCACAAACGGGAGCCACACCTCCAGACATCCCCAGAAACAGTACCCTGAGCTTGTGTCCACCTGTCCTGAGCCACCACCTGCTGGCGAGGACCAGCCCCACCAGAGGCGAAACTGCTCGGACATCAACTCAGCTCAGGGGTCCTCAACACCCCCTGAATCTGGGTGTGGCACTGTCTCACAAGCCCACCTGAGACCAACGGACTCAGACCCCTGGGGGCAGAGTGCAGGCCCCTCTCCCTGACCTCTCCCTCACTTTGCCGTCCAGAAAGGAGCCCTTTCTTCGTGGCGCTTTCGCATTAACGCGGCCTCACATACCTGAACACCCCGGCTCCGACACCCCAGCCGAGTCAAGGCCCTTCTGGCCAAAACGTCTGACTGGCTCATGCCCGCCCCAACCCAGCCCTGTGTGCACCCTCGAGGACAGGGCCTGCGAGGGCGTGCAGGGCGGCCAGACAGGTGGGCACACAGGCGGTGGACGAGGGGCACTCACCAGCGTGCTTGGGCCTTCTCTGCCATACAGGCCCAGCGCCTCGGGCCCGGTGTACACTGCTCCCCCGAAGACAGGCCTGGCCACCGCAGTGCCCAGCTGGCCTGTGTCTCCTGCAGGCCGTGTCTCCTGCCTGGGCCCCGCCCAGGAACATGAAACAAGGGGGCATTGCCTGAGCACTGCCTCTGCTCGGCGGGGTCCCTGCCCTCCTGGGGCCACCGTCCCTGGGCGAGTGCACTGGGCAGACCCGTGTGCGGTGGGGGCACCGCGGGTTCTGGGGCGGACAGCAGGTACCAGGAGCGGCCTCGGCGGGTTCCGCACCCGCGTGCCAGCGTGAGGGGAGCGAGGCTGCTGCTGGCTGGCTGGCCACTGGCCACATGGGCCCCGGGAGGCGTCTGTTCCGCGAGGCGTCTGTCCCAAAAGCCCCCAGGCGGCCCAGGCGGCCCAGACGGCACACCAGGCCGGGGTGGGGGCGCGCAGGCTGTGCGGGGGCGTGGCCAGAAAAGGCTGGGTGTCCAGGGCGTGGGCCCCGTGGGGGCTCTGATGTCACAACACTCCCCCGCCTGCGAACAAGGAGAGACAGGGTTGTGACCTCAACACGAGGTTTCTGTGCAGGCCGTTTGGGGGGGCCTCGGCCAGACCTGCCCCAGCCCTGTCACCTGCGGTCCCCGCGGGCTCCACGCTTGGCAGAGCCGAGAGCCCTGGCGTCCTCACAGCCTGGCGCCCCGCACCCTACGCCGGCACCCCTGGGACGCTCCCTCCCTCCCTCCCATCCTGCCACACGTTCGGTGAGCGGCCCCAATGGGGGTCACGCTGCGAGCTGGTCACGGACTACCTCATCTGTGCAGGGTCCACGCGCAAGTGCTGACAAGCGCTGGCCGGTCACACCCACGACGGGGAACGCGCCACCATCGGGGCTGCTTGGATGGTGGAAACGCTGTTTTTGTGTTGACGTGTCTTCCTGTGGTGGTTACTGATTGGTCCAGACACAGGTGTAGGTTCTCAGCAACTCTATCAGACAGAATCTAGAAACCCCTTAGAGAAATGTGAGATTCCCTAGATGCCCTGGTGAAGACCCCGCAGCTGGATGGGACAGGCCTGGGGCTCCGGGAGCTCACCCTGTGCCCATGCATTTTAGTTCCAGGTGCGCCCTGCTGCAGGAATGAGGCCTGTGGTGGATGAGGGGCGACTTTCCCCCTCTCTGGGCTTCAGTTTCCACACCTGTAACTGGCACCTGGGAAAATTTTAGAAAAGGGCACACAGGGGAGCCGTCCTGGCACCTGGTATTCAGACCCCAGGTCCAGGAGAGCCGCCGCTCTGGGTGCATCTCCCTGGCTCACGCCGCGCCTCGCAGGCCCCTCACCTGGACGCAAGTTCCTAACAGGCCTGTCCCACCCGCTCAGGTGGGGCGCCCCGTGCCCGTGTCTGTCCTGCCCTTACCAAGCCCTGCTGGTGCCCTCTCCTTTTCAGGGCAAACTCAGGCCCTGGCGCCTTGAAACCGCAGCTGGAAGGGCTGCGCAGCAGGAACAAGTTGGGCTTCACATCTGGCAGGGACAGGGAGGAGTCTGGGGAGCCTGAGAACAGGCACCCTGGAAGTGAGCAGGGAGACAGCAGCAGCTGGCGAGGGGCTGCGCCAGGGCGGGCAGCGGCACCCGCGGTGCCAGGGATGATGCCTTGGCCCCTGCCCAACCCCGCGCTCGCCAACGCTCACTTCACACTGGCAGCGAACAGCTGAGGGAGATGTTCCCTCAATACTGTATTCCCCACAACCCCTACTCCGGGCCTCCTCGACCTAGAGACACAGGCCAGCAGAGAACAATCACCCCATCTGGGCTACAGAGCGCGCCGGGGCGGGGGGGGCGGGGGGGGCGGGGGGGAACCTCCCGTGATCCAGCCCCGAGGAAGCCTCGGCAGGAGAAATCAAGATGGCCGGACACAGCCGGTGAATGCGTTTGAAGCAGTCACCGCCCAGGACAGGCTAGCGGGTGGGGCCCCCGAAGACCATCCCGCCGCCGAGAAGTCCGAGAGGAGGCTGTGATTTGCCCTGGATCCCACAGGTGAGCTGCAGCGGGACCTGGCTGAGGCCCATCTCCCGTCTCTCACAGTCACGCCCTGCAGCCGTCCTCCTTACTCTCCCCCACGGGTGCCTGCGTGCGTGTGCACACATAGTACATCTTCACAGACACAGATGTAGGATTCTCAGCAAATTTATCAGACAGAATTTAGAAAACAAGACAAAAATCATCCAAATCATCCAAAATACTACAATTCCGAGATTACATTTTCGGGGCATTTTTTTCTATGCATACACACAATGCATGAGTCATACAGAAATACATTTTTAAGAGTTAGGCTCTAGTGCAAACACAGATTTGCCATCTCTTTTGTTTAATTATATTATTGGCACTTACTACACGGTCAAGTTATGGCTACAAACTTTCTCCCCAAACATTTAGTAGCTTGAAAATACAGCAGCAGATCTGCATGCACCACGGTCACAGACCTCTTCCCTATGGATGAGCCCGAGATGATGATTTTACAGTATAAGTAACAAGGCAGTGGGCAACCTCTGCTTCCAGCTAAACTGGATTAAATTTATCCTCCTATCTGACAAAATAGTTTTCAAAACATACAGAGAAGTCTTTAATTATGCAAAAAGTATTAAAAACAGGCACAAACTTTTAAAAACAGCCACTTTCAAGCATCAGACAGTGAAGGAAGCTGATCCCTGAGAGAGGGGATGCCAGCAGGGTGCCCGCCCGTTGGCGGCTCCCACCCCTGCCTTGCGAGGGGCCTCCGCCCAGTGTGCGGAGACGGGTCCAGGCGGAGCCGGGTGGACTCCTGAATTGAGTAGGCGGAGTGGGAGCAGGTATGCTAACCCCGGACAGCAGACGCGAGGGCAATGAACCCCAGGGATGAAGCGCACTTCCTAATGATAAAGGGGTGATGCCATCAAGAGGACATAACAATCCCAAATTTTTATGCTTCTAGTATCAGCTTCAAAACACATGAAGAAAAACTGGCACTTACTACACAGAACTGTAAGGAGAACAGAACTGTAAGAACTGACAAACCATAGATTTAATTATGTAGTCATATATAACTAGTCAGAGATTTAACATGTCTCAAAAACGGATAGAATAAGCAGCCAGAAAATCCGCCATGCCGGAGAGTCCAGCAGACAACTCGACATAACCGACACTCAGAGCGCTCCGTCCACAGCAGCTCGCATGCCTACCGGCTTTTCTGGAGGGCACGTGGAAACTTTCCCAAGCCCGGCTGTCTCTTGGCGACGCTAGATCCCTTCTGGCTTCAAGGACCAGGCGAGCGAGGGCCGGCCCCAGGGAGCTGGCGGGACCCCTCCGGCCAGCGCTAGACTAACAGTGCTCTAGATTCTTGCCAGGAAAGGCTCCCGGCCTGGTGTGAAGTGCTGCACCAGGGGCCTCTAGCCACCCCCCAAAGACTATGAACAGGCACATTTGGTCTTTGCCTGTAACCTCGGGGAATCGTCATTCCTCGCCCCTGAGCTGTGGACCGGGGGCCTTCACAGCTCCCAGCACGTCCCACTGCAGCGCTCTGGGGAGCTCCCAGTGACCGAGACCGAGACTCTAAAGCCACAGGACAAGCTTCCATCACCACTGAAACCCTGGAGTCCTCTTTTTCAAAACCACCTGCCCACATCTTTTATGGAGAGCTCATGTTCTAAGGCTCCACTTCCGGGACTCGAATCTCAGGAATTCTGTTAGTACTTGCACGTGGAAAGAACTGGAAGCATGCCCTTGGCAGGAGGCTGTGCAGTGTGGCCCCTGTGGCGGATGTGTTCACACCCGTAGGGGTGGGAGTGCCATTACTTCTATAATAAAAAGCCCACATAAAAGGAAAAACTGTCTCATGAGAACTATTTTCTTTTATCAGAATTTTGTGATCCTGGTTTCTGCGCCCGCCCAGCCCAACGGAAATGCAAACTTCACGTTCAACCACAGCAACGCGAGCACAGGGGTCTGTGGGGGCCACCGCTCCACATTCTCCAGGGCCATGGCCACAGAGACTGCACCACCCAGGCCCTATCGCTCCTTTGTCCCCGCAGACAGCTGAATCCTCACCTGAGTTGGTTGTAAAATGCACACCACACTCCCCACATACATCATCCCGTGTGTGACCGTGACTCGAGGGTACTGAGAGTGGAGGCGCCAAAGCCATGCCTTTCTCTGAATGACACCCAGCAGCACCCCCACCTCCAGTGGCCTTGGGGAGGCACCCCCCTACCCCGGGGGGGTGGTGGTTAGAATTAAAGAATTAAGGCCCAGGGGCTTCCCTGGTGGCACAAGGGGTTAAGCACAGCACTATGGAGTTACCCGTGGCCACTGAAGCATGAGTTCGATGCCCCGGCAGGCCAGGGAGAGACCCACATGGCGCAGCAGACCTCTCCTTTCTTGCCAGCTGCTCCCCTCAGCAGTGTTAAAAACAAACAAACAAAAACCAAAAACAACAACAAAGAAAGAATTAAGGCCCAGGGACGAGGGCCATTATTTTCAAGGAAAGGTGACTTTTGGAAGGTATTGGTTTCCATCCTGAATGTAACACACTAAGTTCCTTATTCTCAAGTGGATAGAAAAGTATCTTTCTGCTGCACAGGAATATGACACAGGCTAAGAGCTAATAAACATCTCAGTAAATGGCCCTTAGGCTTATTTTTCAAGTAGACCCGGGAGTTTCTCCACACTGGGGGTTTCTCGATTTCAGCACTGATAATTTTAAACTGGAGAGTTCTGGATCGTGGAGTGTCCTGGGCAAAGACGTGTCCACCCCCAGTCCTATGTTGAAGCCCCTCCCATCAATACGAAGGGGACCAGATTTGGCCATTAGGTAAACATGGGTCTACGAATGGGCCCTGACCCCACAGACTGGTGTCCTCCCAAGGGGAGCGGTGTCAGAGCGAGGACCATGTGAGTCATGGCGGGATGGCAGCGTTTGGCAGCCCAAGGGGCTCTCAGGGGAAACCTACCCGCTGAGCACCCAGGCTCCGACTTCCTCCCCTCTGCACCCCGAGGACTAAACCCAGGCTACAGCTGTCGGGGCAGCACGAGTGACGCCCCCTGGGGCTGGACTGTGAGCGCTCAGCAGCAGCCTTGGCCTCCACCCACGGACACCAGGGGCCACCCCCCAAATGCAGCCCAACAGCCAGGGAGGGCAGAGTCCTCCTGCCCAGCCTGCACGTTCCAACGCCCAGCGCCGTCCTGCGATCTAACACGGCAGCGCTCAGGTGCTCGCTGGGTGAGTTCACCCGCCTGCCCCCCTTTCTTGGTCCCACCCCTCCTCTGAAAGCTCCTTTTGCAGTAACTAAAGCAATAGCTACTTCCAGCTTACTCTGGAGCAGAGAGCTCTCTGACAACGCAGTGTAAAGTCCAGCACCACAGCTGGCCACATGGGACGCAACTGCCACACTGGCGGTAAGCCGCTCGCGCGTCGCTCACCTGCCGCACGCTGGGTCCTTCGACAGAGCCCGCAAGGGGCGCTGCTCTTAGTTCCTTAGTGCGCCCCCTCACCATCCGCAGCAGAGGGAACGACCACGACAAATCCTTACATAACCATCTGAAGCTTAGGGGCTCATTAAGGAAACAAACAGCCATTTAGGCGTGGAAATGCTAAAGCCTTGGTCACTGCAAGACCTCACAAACCCCAAAGCCCCAAGAGTGCAACAAAAGCCCACGCAGCGGGCACGTTCCTAGGAGAGGGGCGGGCACCGCACCCCAGCACCCGGAAGGCTGCCATCACCGCGGGGCTGTCCAGTCATCCGCAGCTGATGTGCAGGGGCTGGGTGGCGGCAGAGGTGAGGGTCAGAGGGAGGCGGGCTCTGAAGTGCCTGAGAGAAGAATCAGGAGCTCTGGAAGGAGCTGGAACTAGAGGCCAGTCTGCACAGAGGTCACGTCCGACCAAGCCTGGCCGGTGAGGTGGAGCTGGCGCTCGATGACAGGATCCGGGGCCACAGGTGCTACTTGACATTGATGCAGAGTCTATTCAGTTACAAATTCCATTTATTGCATTCTTTTTGTTTAGGAATTAGGATTTAAAGTGTTAAAAATTTGACTTACCCGAGTGAAAAAAAAGACGACTAATGGGAATCATTTCTAAGTACCATTTCAGGAGAAACTGGCCCCAGTTTCCGAGTCACAACACTAACGTCCTGCTCCGCGGTAGGGAAGACACAGGCTCACGGACGGCACCACCAGACCCCACCACAGCCCGCAAGGCCGGCGGGAGGGGCGCGCCAGCCCCCGCGAGCCCCAAGACGTGATGATGACACCCCGCCGTGCCACAACACACGGCTCTGAACTCCTCCCCAGCTGCGGGTGACCGAGGGCGGACAGTCCTCTTCTGAGCAGTTTCTCCACGGGAGAGGAGAACGATGCTGAAATTCAGAAACAAAACCCCTCTGTGAAAAGAAGGTCCACTCTGCGAGGCTGCGGAACCGCAGGTGTCGTGTTTTCAGAGACATGCGCGGAGGCAGGAGGTAACGGACCGAGCAGGGTGCCTTGTGACCTCTCTTCAGAAGGGCAGAAGAGAATGAAAATCAATGAGATGGGATGTCAAACCTGACATCTCCCCGCGGCGTTTATAAACCGGGAGCCCAGGGGCCCCAGCCTCCCGCCCCAGACAAGCCCGCCGAGGCCACCCTAGGTCCTGTTCCGCTTGTTCCTGGGCTCGCACTCTGCCCCCTCAGCTGCGCGCGCGCGGCGATGCTGCCTTGAACCCACTGCTGTGTCCTGAAGATCATTTCTGGAAACAGAAAAAAAGGAAACGGCATGTTAGAAAACAATGACCATTGTTATTTACACAAAGCCAGAGCTTTCCAAGCACTATTCCATTTAAACCTCCAGGCAGCCTCCCACACTACTGTCCAGTGTAGAGTGCTAAGACCTGCTGCTGTTATCACAGTTTAGAACTGAGAAAACGTGGCGTTTAGTTCTCAGTTTAGTGAGTTAGTGAAGATGACAGAGAGTAAGTGCTAGAGCCAGGAACCAAAACTCCTCCTTCTGAATCAAGTTCTAGCAGTTTTCAACTTCTGCTTAGTATCAGAAAGCAGTAAAAAAAAAAAAAAAAAAACCAGAATCCCAAAGAAAAGTCAGTGCCCCCAGCCAGCGCCCCTGGGGTCGGGTCAGTCCAGCAGGAACAGGGGGAGCACAGAGGACACACTTAGCTAAGAAATGCCTCCTCTCCCAGGATTCAAAGTAAAATAATGTCCAGATGACAGTAATGCAGCCAAAATTTCAAACATTCACAAAACATTAGCATTTGAATTGCCGTAGCTCGCGGGCCTTGCATGGATACATCACACTTTATTTTCCCAGTGATTCCGCCGTGAAACTACAAAATGTCAGCAAAGCAAATCTCCCTTTGGAAAAATAGTATAGCTAAGGCTGCAAGTGCTGATTGCGGCACACTGGGTTACAATCAGCTCAATGACTCATCACTTATTAATAGCGAAGTGATGCTGGGGTTCGAGATGTCTCTCTTTCGGCCTCAGTTTCCTCCCTGTGACACAGGAAAGCATCGGTGCTCCCCGTGCTGTCAGGCTATTTACATGGGACCACCCACACAGAGTCTTTACTATGGGCTGACACTGTGCAGGCACTGGGGTTACAATGCTAGACCCCCAGACCGGGATGACAAACGATCACGCGAATGTGCTGGGAAGAGGAGGCTGCAGTGCTGAGAGGACTTGTAACAAGAGGAGCTGATCCAGGAAGAAGGGAGAGGAGACTTCCATGGGAAGCAGTTCCTGAGCTAAGATCCAAAGGGTGAGTGGGGTCAACTCGGTGAAGAGGGACGTGGAAGCTCTTGGAGGAGGCAGCCTGACCTGGGCCCTGGGGGAGGGAGCTGAGGCTGCAGGGAGCACTGCAAGTGGGTCTGTCAGCGGAGCAGCGAGAAGGCAGAGGGGCGGTGAGACAAGACTCAGGGAGACCAAGAACTTACAGGCTTAAAGCAGAGAGGCGAGTAAACGTGATCATTCTCATTTTGGAAAGATCACCCTCGCGACAGTGGACAAGGCCAGAGTGTACGGAAGTCTGAGAAAGTAGACAGATTAAGGCCCAACGAATGGCCCAACCGAGACACAGCAGCAGCAAAGATTAGGGTGATGAGGGAGGTGGAAATAAATGGATGGGTCCCAGAGATACGTAAGAAGTAAAAACCACAGGCCCTGGCACAGACCGGACAGACAGGCAGTGGGGACCAGGAAAGAATGAAAACCATGTTGTTTTTCGGCGTAAGAAGCTGGTTATAAGGGAACACTGGAAAAGGATCATGCTCTGATTTTGTTTTAAGACTTTTTGGGGCTGGTGCACAGTAGGTATGGCCAAGCCGTGCAACTTCAGCTGCTGTAACACCAAGGAAGAGACACCAGGCAGGCAGAGGGGCACGTGCCTGTGGTGCCCAGGAGGGGTGGGCAGGAGAGAGGTTTCGTTGGCGACTAGTGACCGGCTGAGGAAGAGGAAAGCCAGGTGTCTGAGAGGCCTCTGAGAAAGGTGACACGGCCAGTAGCATCACATGTTGCGAAGACGCCAAGGACGATGGGGTGTAAAGAAGGCCCCCCGGATCGGGCCACACGGAGGTATTCGGTGACTGCAGTGAAGTCTCTCGGAAGAAGGAAGGTGACGAGGTGGACGACCCCGTGGGAGAGAAGCGGATGGAGGCGGCACACGAGGCCCTCTGTGACAGGAAGGAGAGAGCTGGCAGAGCCACGGAGCCTGAGAGACGAGGCTGGCTGGCTGGCTGGCTGGTTAGTTTTAAGATGAGAAAGATTTGAGCTGAAAAGCCGATGAGAAAAACACAGCTGAGAGGCCTTTCCCGGAGAGACGGGAGAAAGCTCCGGATAAAGAAGGGAGCCGGAGGAGCCAGAGGACAAAGCAGCCTCAGAGAGGAGGAGGGACATCCCTTTATTTAAAAGGAGGAAATAAGGATAAAATAAGCACAGATACAGACTCACAAATTTGACAGCAGAAAGATAAGGGTTCCCATGTAATAGCTCCTGTGTGCTCTATAAAGGCAGAGGTCGTCAGCTGGCGGCGGGGTCGCAGGAGAGAGCGAGGAGGTTTCTAACAGCCCTTGTTCACCAGCACAGTACAAAGGCGGTTTCCAGGCCCACGGCAGGAGAGTGACGGAGAAACTGCAGAGGGCACCTCTGCCCGCATGGAGTAGTGCCCTCCTTGCCACCAGTGGGACCTGGAGTAGCGGCCCCAGCACCCGCATGTCCGTGATTCACAAGTGGTTTAGGAGAAGGGGTGAAATGGCATTTATTCTGCACTAAGCACATCTTATGCCAGGAATACCCACGAAGGATTACGTTTCTAAGGACTCTGAGCCACCGCTTAAAACCAAAGCGTTCACTGTCCATCAGAATATTTTGCCTTTAGAAAAACCCCTTCTGACAAGTAACCAGAATCATTACACTGGGACCCCATTTCTAAGCAGAAATAAAGAAATGAGCAGTAAACTGGAAATCTTCACCTGGACGAGTATGAATCATCACTTCCTTAAATCACAAAGCACAACTATTCTTGTGCTCAAAAACCAACTGTACAGAATTATAATTTCTCAGGTCAGAGTACACGCTTCCTCCCCAAGCAGGAGAACTCACTTGTGTGCTGCTTCCCAGGCTTCCTCTTCTTCCAGAAGATCTCTTATGATGTCTGAACTGGAACTAAAAGGGTATTGACACATTAATATTGTCAGACAATAAAAACACTTTGTGATTTCTTTTATATAATTCTAGAAGATGCAACCAATCTATAGTGACACAAAGCAAAGCAGCAGACCAGGGGTGGGAGTGGGGCAAGGAGGGACCACGAAGTGCACAGGAGACTTTGGGGTGAGGGGTGTGCTCATCCTCTTGATTATGGGGGAGGTTTCACAGCTGTGCACATCCAGCAAAACTCGCCAAAGCAGGTACTTTAATTATCTGCAGTTTATTATACATTCATTTCAACAGCTGTAAAAAATACTTACTACATTAGCAATAATGAAAAATAATCACTAAAGCCTAAACAAACCCACCAACATAAACCCTGGAATCAAATGGAACACAGTCCTGCGCTTTTTCCATTTCCTGTTGGCAGCCAAAGACCAAACTGTGGTGTAAAGACCGTGCTTTCGTAACCAGATTCACAAGAGATATTCAGTTCCAAAGTGGCTTTTAGTCCTTTTGTAACGACAGTAAAGTAAAATTTAATTAACATGAGCTGTGCTGATGACGGATCCGCTACAATGCAGCCTGGCTCCAAAGCGGCACGGGCACAGTGAGGGAGGAAAAACTCTTTTAAGGCTTTTAGCATTTTGGTTTCACCCCAAAACATTCCTAGGAAATGAGCAATCCCCTTTTTAAAAAAGAATGTGTACATTAAATCAAAAAGCCATTCTGTAGGCACCTAAGGCTGAAGGTCAGGAGCCAGCGGTGCCTGAGGGGAGAAGGGGAAGCCAAAGGCGCTCCCGCCCGCAGCGAAGTCACAAGGCAGCGGGTGCGGCGGGCCCTGCTTCCGAGGGTTTGCTAGTAAAAACCATAGAGACTGTGAGGTGCCCTCGAGTCACTAGACCCCGCCCTGACAGAGCCCCTGGAAGTGCCGTGATATCTGCACGGAAAAGGGCAGCCGCTGGGCGCAGGCCCCCCACATTCCCAGGATTTCCCAAAAGTGGCTCATGGAGACGCCAGGAAGCAGATGACCGACCGGGCTCACAGGTGGGGTGGCTGCCTCGTGACTATGGTGTCGGGAGCGCACAGGGACACGGTGCTCCAGGGCCGCAGTCACACGCAGCAGCGTGCAGGCGGGCGGGAAACACAGCCAGGGGTGTGTTTGTGGGACACCCGGCCATGTGCACAGAGGGCGCTGGCGGGCTCCTGCAGGCCCTGGGGCGGGGGCGGGGCAGCACCGCTGGCCGCCTGCAGAGTCCCCGGGCACACGCCACACCGCGGTGCTCCCTGAGAGTAAGGCCACCTTCACTCACCACCAGCCGGGCTCACCTCCGGGTAACCAACCGGCTCACAGCCGTGTCCTGCCCAACAGCTAAGTGCAGTGTTTATTAGGAGCGGGGAGAGACACAGAGGGTCCTTAAGGAGACCCACGCAGACTCCACACACTTTATTATTTTCCTCAGACAGAGAGCCACAGAGCCCCTGGCTGGCAGGACTTCGCTCCACGGCCGCCCTTCCCACGGCCGAGACCCCCTCTTGCCATGCCCAAGGCCCTGCTGTGCTATTCCCGACCTCGCTGGTAAGTGCCCGACTGCCCAGAGAGCCGAAGCTGTTCAACTGCCGCCTGCCCACGGCCTTCTCTGCTCCGGGTCTGTGCACACCGTCGCCCATCCGCCTTCACCCGCGCGGACCGGGCTCTGTCTCGTGACTGTGCTCACTATCATTCCTCACCGGCCCCAAAGCCCTTTTATACTTTTTTTACTACCACAAATATAATGTATATCGGTTTATACATCACAGCTCTCTCTATGCTTCATACATAGGAAGAGTAAGACTTCTGGAAACCCCCAGTTTCCACCCCCTAGGGTCCTACTGAGAACCCATGAGCTCTGAGAATGGTGTCGGGGGCCGGGGGTCCCGATCCTGGAAGGTGGGACCGAGCCGCGGGTATAGTAAAATCAGCTATTTGTCCATGGCCCTCTGGCGCGCACACACTTTTTTCAGAACAGGAGGGTACGAAGAATCCTCCTCTTCCAGCTAAATGAGCAGCACGGCCAGCCAGTCACCGTCCCTAGCAGTTTATGATCAATTTACTTAGGGGCTTTCAAATCTCCAGGACAAATCACTGATTTGTTTAAAAGAAAATATTTGCAGTACATTAATGACATAACCTAAGAGGTTTTTGCTATCCTACCTCGGTGACAACAGATGGTGGAGGAGGTTTACGAAAAAACACATCTCCCAAGTTGCTTCTGGTCTCTGGGACTTCACTGCCAGTGCCCAGGCAGTGCGAGGCCCACTGCCCCCTCAGGGCTCATCACCTCTCCTCCCCAGCTCAGGCACGGCCCTGAAGTTAACCAGACCCTAAGTGGAATATATTAGAGTCCAAGAGGTTTGAAATTTACCTAAAATGAAGTTTCAGAACTATCTGCTGCTCCAGTTCCAGTCACCATGGAGAAACTGGGAGTCGCCACTACGCGACCAACCACCTGACTGAACCGTTCACCCCCTTCTCAACTGACGCGCTGTACTTACTCTCTCCTGCGCAAAAGCCACACTCCTAAAGTTAAACACACAGTTCCACAAACAGGGTTCTACAGAGGGACTGCTAGGCATAGCATTCATTGCTGCTAAAATTATCTCTCTCAGATCTCTTCCTGTGGATAGCAGTGATTAATATTTTTGAAGTCTTAGTCATCTCAATATGCCTAGGGAGCTCAGAAATTCCTTTCATACACTTTTCAAGACATCTAAAAAATCCTCCACAGGAGAAAGTAAATTACTGTAGTTACACCGGGGGTCAGAGCACACACAAGCCCACACAAGCCCACACAAGCCCACACAGCTGCGGCCTTAACTTCGCAGACGAGGAACTTTATCAGAAGAAACGTGAGCTTCTCTACTGTCTGGGTTTGCAATGCTCCAGAGGACCAGGCTTTAAGAAGCTGGCACGGGGAAGTAACCATTCCCTAAAGAAGGGGGTTCGAATGGTGTTCTCCGGAGCTGCCATCGGCCAGGCTAGAATGGTGTTATTACACGGATTAAATACACACGAGAGACTCAAAGGCAAAAACAATGAATCAGGAATTCTTGGGGATTCCTAACATCTGTTCAGGAAGATTCTAGTATATTTACTTACTTACAACACCCACTCTTCACCTTCACACCATTTAGACCTCATTTCAGCTCAAGCTTTCTGTACAGAAGCTAAGCTGTCTACTATTTGTTGGCTGGTCTGCGGCCTCCATCTTTCCATCATTATTTTACTCCTGTCATTTCCGAGGAGCAAAGGAAACCAGTCTCTTAGCTTATTTTTCTTTATTTCATTCTACTTGTCAAGACTTCACCACTGCAGCTGTAAAGTAGATGCCACATGTCTTGAGCCAAGGTATGACCACCCAGAGGGAAATCCCAGATCTGAGTGCCAAGTTAAGGCTTCAGTCCCATTTCTGTCGCTTAATGTGTAAACCCAGGGAAGGACACCCTCCCCTGTATAGTCAGGGATTAATTTTAGGATCGATCAGCATGACGCATGCCTGGCATAGAGCTGGGCACACAGTGTTCAGTAAATGCCAGTTCCATTTTCATGGAGCAGATGAGGGTGTGAATGATCGGACTCTCTCCTCGGCACTAGGCTTCAATTTGCCCATGGAAACGTGATTTCCACGTGTACTATTTTAATCTCTGATTTCCACTGTTTCTATGACACCAGGGTGCAAATTCATCAGAATGTGTTATTTATCCAGCATGGCAGGTACACAGGGTACTGTGGGGCAGGGAAAATGCAAACATCTGCTAAAAACCCCGCAGATTACTGACGAGTGGCATTTGTCTATGATGCAGCAGCCATTTCCCCCTCCCCAACCTCACAAGCGTGCTTGACTATAGCAACTTGGAAAAACAGCTCCCTGAGACGGATGCCCAGGGGGTTGAGGGAGCAGGCAGAATGTCGTCCAGACACAGGTGCTTTAGGTCAGTGCCCACCACACCATCCTCCCCGAACCCCGACTCGCAGTCCTGTCTGTAGGGTGAAAAACCACCTGCATGCCCAATATTGGTTGGTCAGCCGCTGGCTAACCAACCACACGGCAGAACAGTCAACATTCTGGGCTCAAGAAAGTCATTCAGTGATGACAATGACAGAAATGAGCACTCTGTGAGGAACTATTTTTACAAATCGTGTGGTAATTAGACGAGAGGCATTATCTTTAATTCATGGACGCACCCTGATCTTCCAGATGCAACTCATGAAGATTCAAAACAATGCACAGCTGTCACAGAAGCACAGCAAGATCCACTGACAACTCCAGCTACTGTCCAAACCACCACCTCCCTCCCCCTCAGCCCCAGGCCCTCTGAACTGCACTTACTGGGTCCAGTGGACTGGAGAGGGCAGCAAAGCTGGGAAACTGCCGCGTGGTTTTTCAAAGTGGTTGCACCATTTTACATTCCCACTAGCGATGCAGCAGATTTTCAGGTCCATGAAATTTCAACAAAGTTAATTCTATCTTTTTTTTATCTTTTTACCACTGTAACCAGATACTAAATCAAGCTCTCAAGTTAAACGGGCAGGGAGACACATTCACGGTGCTTGTTTAGTACTGATTCTTTCCACCCTCAGCAGTGTAAATTACTAACAGGAATAAAAACCAAACACTAAAACATAAGATGACCACACTAGCAGGTCGCAGCGGTGAGCCCTGTTGTAATGAGCAATTCAAAGACAAGCAACACTCCGCAGAAGAAAATTCCCTCTACCATTGAGGGAGCTGTGATTAAGTGCCCCTCCCTCCCTCCTCCCCACCCACACCGTATACTTGGGAAATAGATGTACTGTTTCTTCCTACACACACACACACACACACACACACACACACTGAAGTGAAATTTGCACATCAGGCACAGTATTAGCAACAATAACTGATAACAGATTACAACAGTATGCTATTATAAATGTTGTATGAATGTAGTCTCTCTCTCCCTGAAAATCCCTTACATACAGTGTGTAATACTCT